GAATAACACAAAATGAGGGTTAGACCAGGAGGTCTAGTGAGATACACGAGTTTTGCAATTACAGGGTGAAGATCACCAAAACCTGTTTGCAATTCACATTTTAAATAACCAACCACTTCTCATCAAGTATAACTTCAACAAACATACTACAAGTTATAAATCAATCTTACCACATAAGAAGATTGACCATCCAGGTTCTCACAGACATCTGAAATATAACTTTCAAGCTCACAATTCACAATAGATTCAAAGCTTATGGTCTCAATCCCCACGGTTATAAAAGAGTAAGAATAAATAACAATCACCAGATTTCTTGGTTATTTATCAAAAGCTTTTAATTTAAATTTAAGTAAGAACTGTTAAAATAATAACCAACGACCCTCCAAATTTTATTTCAAATCACTACCCTTTGAAATACTCAAAATATGTTAATTCAGAATCATTTGAACAACAAAAGGCGAAGCTATTTATAAAGCACAAGTTGAATCACGACAATTAATGCCTCTGGCTATAAGCCGTTTTCTCCTTCTTAATGACATCAATGTTATTATTTCAATAAAAATAATATTTCTAAGTCATCAAGTCATAGAAAAATGTTGATTTAGAGTTATAGTACCTTATGAAAATAATAACAAGGGTTACAATAATTAACACAACAACAAATGCCACCCTTACATCCATATGTACACTTCTCTTTAATATGTCACCCTTATCCCATGGTACACCTCTCCTTGATATGCCACCCTTGTTTCCTCTTCAAAACACATTCATATTAGAATAGACTTATGTCACATATGTCCTGAAGAAACAGTTAAAACATAGTCCATGCCAGAAGACACTTACGTCACCACGTCTGGAAGAAACATCCAAAACAGGGTTTCATACCAGAACAGACTTATGTCACCACGTCTGGAAGAAACCTAGTTCCATATCAGAACAGACTTACATCACCACGTCTGGAGGGAACATTTCTCAAATCAATATTTCTTTCAAAACAGAATTTTGTCACACACGTCTTGAATGAAAACATCAGTATCTTTTATCGGTTCATAAATCTCATTTAAAATATACAAAATACCCTATTCACAATATAAAACAGTTTAAAATTGTTTAAGCAACATTTGTAAAATACCATCATTAAATAACACAAGTTTTGCGCAAATTCCACTTCATCGGCCAACACTATGGCCGATGAAACCCTCCTCATCGTTCAACTATATCCGAAAATCACTACCCGGACAACTCTATCCGGACAACACTTGAAAGGTCAAACATGCTTATTGATTATACCCTGTCCGGATACACCCTCATCAGACAACACAATGTTCGGATACAATTCTCACCGGTCAATACTTAGCAATATAATTTAAACGATTTTAAAGCTTTGTTTGATGAGCATCTTCACTAGACAAGGCTTATCCGATAGCCAAACCAAACCAATCAACACTTAACTACATCAAACATTAAATCCATACAATACAATGAGCAAAGAGTAACTAACTAGATAATACAATGTCCGGTGAAAAGTCCTTATCGAACAAGGCTATGTCTGATAAGGGACTTTATTGGTCAAAACTTAAAGTCACCAAACAATTCACCGACCAAGGCTTAGCCGGTGAGGAGCTTTCATCGGATAGCACTTGTCCGATTAAAATCTCTTTACCAGTCAATGAATGCATCAAGAACACAAATTTAACATTCATAAAACAACAGTATAATTTATGCAAAATCAGTAATAAAAATAGGTTCAAATATGTTTTTGTATGTAGTAAAACTCACCTTAGACTTTGAATTTGATAGAAGTAATGAACAGCAGATGAAAATCATCTTCTACTTTTGATTCCCAAATCTTTAGTTTCCAAAAACAATAAGAATTCACATAGAGATTTACTCTTTTCTTAACTTTCTGAAAATAGCCAGAAAAACCATTCCTTCCAACTTGAACATTTTTTATAGGCTTCCCATAAAGGGAAGGCGGTTGAAGAAATGCATATAAAACTCCTTTATCATACTCCCATGCATGCATAATAACAATATGCACACACCAACCATATAAACCATGGATACTCATTCATACATATAACTTTTCATGCATAATACATACTACATACTTCCCATGCATGAAAAATATTTACACATACTCACATATAAATTTCATGTAAGCATGTATCAACATGATCAATTATAACAATTAATCAAATATTCACGTGATCATATAATCAGGTAATCGCATAACAATTACCTCAGGTGCATAACCAGGACCCGGTTATCACAGTCTGCCTGATAAAGGATTTGATAGGCAGAGCATAAGAGAGTTCTATTTCATTAGATAGGTAATTGAAGCACATGGTATGACCAAGATGTGTGAGGTCCCCATTTCCTATAATTTGACACTTATAAAGGAATTTTATGTTGGACTGTTAGCAACTACAATTCAAAGATCAAGATTAGGGGTGTCACTATAACCTTCACATCAAAGGGACTCAACAAACTCTATGGACTCACCCCCCTCTCCAAGAAGACTGACTACTCCAAGTTGTTGAACAATGCCACCATGAACGACTTAATTGAGATGGTTGAGGCATTAGGAAAACCTAGGGCAGAATGGGAAGAGAACTCAAACTTCATGATCAGAACTTTCAAGGCATTCAACCTCACGAACAATGCAAATGTGTGGATAAATTTTCTAAGGCAATCTATTGCTCCAACAACTCATGATAGCTCTATTTTTGTGGATAATATACTTTTGTTTTATTGTTTGATTATAGGCACGACCATAAATCTGGGCAGGATCATAGAGAAGAGTATAAGAACATGTGCGAGGGGGAATAGGAGAAAGTTGTATTTCCCTTGTTTGATCACAAAAATGCTGATTGAGGATGGTGTTCCTCAATATTGTGAAGAACAAAATGGTGAAGGAGCAGGGAGAAAAGTGGAAGATAGACATGAAGATAACGTCAAGATTGAGATACAATAAAGACAAATGGATGGCAGAAAATGATATGATGACCCTCATGCAAGATCTTTTGGCCCAAAACAGCAGCCTAATGGACAACCTTTTAGAGCAAAGGAATGAATTCTTGGATAAGTTTGACAATCTAAAGACTGATGTATCAAATAAGGTGAAGACTGCTGAGAAGAAGACAAGAGGAGATCAAGGTGATGAAGGCTGAGTTGGAAGCCAAAACAAATGGAAAAGTCAAGGAAGATGGGGAAAAAGATGAGAGCTCTCAAAGAGGAGAACTCTAGGCTCTTTAGAGAAAATGCCAAGGTCAAGGATGAATGCAAGAAGTTGATGGATGGATTCACAACTTCGGCCACACCTACTCATAAGGAGTAGGATAGGTTTCATCATTTTCCTTTTAGCTCCATTGTTTGTTTATTTTAAATTTTTTAGTCTGGGATTGTTTTTACACACTTTTTAGGTTTTTTTTGCAAGAAGCAGATATGTTGGTAATGTTGATATGCATGTGTAGCCAAATTAACTTATGTAGTCTAGCTAGTGTCCTAATTATGTAGTTCTTGCTAGAACTAACATTACTTTGCTTGAGAACGCATTTTGATCCACATCATTTACACATATAAGAGAGGATATAGGCCTTTGTTATTTTCTCCATATTTAAGACACTTGTAACCAACCATAAGGGTGGTGCCTGATTGGTTTGAGCTTGGATCCAAAGGTCAAAAGTACCAGGAGGTCCCAGGTTCAAATCCAAGGAGGTATATAAATCCCCTTGTGGCCACGGAGGTTCAAATGCGGTGACTCCAGGCTATTTGCAAAGCAGGTGGTCGCCCTGGGATTAGTCAGCTCGCATAGCGGGTTGGATATCCAAGTTAATAAAAAAAAGACACTTGTAACCAAAGCATAAACACTCTCTCACTCTATATACTTCCAATGGGGACATTGTAAACTTTGAGTTTGGGGGAGGGTGCCATCATGGCTAAAATGATCAAAACAACAAAAGTGCACAGAGTGACAAAAGCTTAGATGCCATGTTTAGATCTAAAACACCAAAAATGTCCCATAGGGGCAGGTGTATGCGTTCAACAAAAAGTGCACAAAGTGCCAAAATTTTGAAAAATTCAAAGTTGAATCGAACTAAGCTCCTCTTGTAGCTCTAACTGATATGCAACCATTCTGATTCACTTGCAGATTCTGAATGGCCCGATATATCTAGCACTAAGCTTACCTCTCTTACCGAATCTGACTACCCCTTTCCATGGAGAGACTTTCAGCTTCACATAATCTCTCCCTAAGAATTCAATTTGCTTACCGCGTCTGTTGGCATAGCTCTTTTGACGGTCCTGAGCTCTTTTAACTCTCTCTAATCTTTTCAATCTTCTCTGAAGTAACTTGAAAAAAAAAATTGGATCTATTAATTGCCTTTCACCCACCTCATTCCAACATAACGATGTTCTGCACTTACGATCATCCAAAACTTCATACGGTGTCGCTTGGATGCTAGAATGATAATTGTTCTTATAGGAAAATTCAATCAATGGAAGATTATCTTCCCATGATCCCTCGAAGTTGATAACACACGCTCTTAACATGTCTTGGAGAGTTTGGATCATTCTTTCACTCTGCCCGTCAGTTTGCAAATGATACGCCGTACTCAGCCGAGATTGAGAATCCAAAGCTTTCTAAAAACTCTCCCAGAATTTAGAGGTAAATTGACCATCCCAGTCTGAAATGATAAATAACGGAACCCCGTGTATGGTTACAATCTCTTCGATGTAAATCCTTGCCAACCTTTATAATGGATAATTCTCCTTTATCGGTAGAAAGTGCGCAGATTTTGATAAACGGTCTACAATCACCCATATTGCATCATATCCCTTTAGAGTTCGTGGTAATTTCATTATGAAATCCATCGTAATATGATCTCATTTCTATACAAGGATCTCCAGAGACTGCAGATTCCCGTATGGTCTCTGATGTTCAACTTTTACTTACAGACACATTATACATCGCTCAACATACCTTGTTATGTCTTTCTTCAATCTAGGCCGCAATAGATAAGTTTTAAATCTTTATACATTTTATTGGTGCTAGGACGAATAGAATACCAGGATTTGTGGATTTCATCCAAAATAGTCTCCCGAATATTCCTGTAGCGCGGTAACCAGATCCGCCCCTGGAAACATAAAATTCCCTTATCGTTCTTTTCCAGGATGGAAATCATTTTACCTATTCTTTCAAATTTGAAATTATTCTCTTGCATTGCTTCTTCTTGACAATTTACAACTTCACTATGGAGATCTGGCAATGGGTTCATTCTCATTGCTACTGCCTTAATCGTACCACCTTTCTCTTTTATGCTCAAAGCGTCTGCTACCACGTTGGCTTTCCCTGGATGGTAGAGAATCTCAATGTCATAATCATTTACTAGCTCAATACATCGTCGTTGCCGCATGTTTAATTCTTTTTGACTAAACAGATGTTGGAGACTCTTTAGATCTGTAAAGATCTGACATTTTGTTCCCAACAAAAAATGCCTCCAAATATTCAGAGCAAAAACTACGGCTACAAGCTCCATGTCTTGTGTTGGATACTACTTTTCATAATCCTTCAAGCACCTGGATGTGTAAGAAATCACTTTTCCCCTCTGCATGAATACGCAACCAAAACCTAACTTTGAAGCGTCACTATAGACCATGAAATCTTCAGATCCCTTAGGCAATGACAACACTGGAGCACTGCAAAGACGATCTTTCAGTAACTAGAAAGCTCTTTGTTGATCTGCTTCCCATTGAAATTTGAAGTTCTTTCGAGTCAGCTTAGTCAATGGTGCTGTGATTCTTGAGAAATCCTAAATAAACTTACGATAGTAGCCTGCTAACCCTAGCAAACTACGAACTTCAGAAGGAGTTCTCAGTGCATCCCATTTTTATACAGCTTCAATCTTATGTTATAACCTGGTTTCAGATAACCTAGGTCAAGGTAAATTTTACATGATTATTTGATAAATTATATGATGGTATGCGTGAATGTGGCAACAATACATGATGCATGAAATAAGTACATACATGTTTGGATAAAATGAATAGTAATGAAGCAAATAGGTTTTTAAATAATAAAATCCACACCGTCGTATCCAATTTTATATTATTGAAATCCTCCACCGCCTTGGTGAGGATATTTAAAGAAAAGTTTGGATAAGGTTATCCTTATCACTGTCATTCTTTTAGAAAAAGAACCCGTGTGTGTGAGATAAGGTGTTCTTCAAGAATTGTTGCTTCAAAAGAACTTGAAGATTCTGTGTTAGAGTAAAGCTTGTGTGATTATCATCAAGAAATTTGTTTGATAAGGTGAGTGGTTTTGAAACTAAATTCCTCATATATTTGTGTATCAACTGTTGAGTTTTGATATTGGTTTTGAGGTTAWSATGATAAATTGTCTTTAACAGTTTTTATGATGTTATTGTTTTGGAATATGTTTCTAGATAAATATGAAACAAAGTTGTGTTCTTCAACAGCATTTGAGAAGTTGTTGTTCGAATCTATTTTTGGGATTGTTTTGGAAAGAATTAAACAGTATCTGGGTTTTTAAACAGTTTGAAAGAATTTTACAGAAAAACAGAGTTTTAAACTGTTTGGGAGAACAGGTTGTTCTTGAGAATAGAAAGTTTTGAGTATAAACCTATGTTGAAACCATGATTTGGTTTGGGAATTATGAACAGGTTCACTCTGACATATATGACTGWGGTTTGTCTTTGGATGAACTACTTCATATGAATTAATGGGAGGATATAAGGGTGGAACATCATAAAAAGGGAATTATTGGGAGGATATAAGGTTGGTCGTTGTCTGYGTGGCCTAACTCTTATTATGATATCTATTAAAGTTACAACAGATTTAAGTTCTCATTTCTTGGTGATTTGAGGATTTAGAGATGTTGTCTTTAGTAGAAATGGTGGTAATGATGTTATGGGATTGGAGATAATATGTTTCATGACCGTTGGTTGTGAGTAATATGCTTTGGATAAAAGCATTGATTATGAGGAAACAGAGGAGCTCTGGTTGTACCTTGCAAGGAACCAGAGGGGCTCTGATTGACCCTCATAATAGAACCAGAGGATTCTGGATGTTGATTTAAAAATGATGYAAAATCTTTTATAAATTATTAGTTTGAAAATAAGCTTTTTATTTTTTTTTTAAACAAGCTTAATGCTTTATTCATAGTTTTAAAATGATATTTCAAAAGAGTCTCTACACTTAGAAGTTTCTATAAAACAAACTAGAGGGGCTCTGGTTGGTCTTCATAAGTACAACTAGAAGCTCTTGTTGAGGAACCAGAGGCTCTGGTCGACCAACCAAAAGCTCTGGTAGAAAGACCAAAGGAGCTCTGGTCATGCTTATTGAAAAATATTCTAAGTATTGTTTGGAACCAGAGGCCCGATGGACACTTTGGAACCAGAGGCCGGTGGACTGGAAAACCATTATTTTTCTAAGTATGGGATTTTGAACAAAAGGCCCGATGGACTTAAACATGATGCGATTCTTTTATTATTCTTCATTATGATTGAGAGATTCTTTGATAAATGTTTTTGGTGATCTCATCCTGCATAGCATGAAAAAGGGAATCTCACTAGACTTTTGTCTAACCCTCATTTTATGTTTTAAAATATGTGTGTAGGTAATACCAGTTATAATATCAATAAGGGAAAAAGCATTATATGATTACTTCCCTTATGTGATTAAATGTTGAAGACCATATTTAGATGTGTTTTGGAGGAGAGCAACGCAAGTTTACTAATGCATGTATTTTGGAATTTTTAAGTTATGCAATGTGTGAAGATTGGGGTGTCACATCTTAGGAGGATCCACTTTCACTCCTACCTCATATATGACATGACCTAGAAATTGAATTTCTTTCAACCAAAATTCACATTTGGACAGTTTTGCATAAAACTTTTCTTTCTTAAAAAGTTTAAGGATTAGAAGAAGGTTGTTAGGACTGAGAAATCAGTATTAATTTTATTCGTCTTGAAAGATTATAAATAGTCTATAATTGTAAAAGTCAGCGTGTTTGACTTTTCTTATAGARGTTTGACTTTGACTTTGTTTAGTTAGTTTGACCATATAAATAGGTTAATCTTTGTAATTAGTAGGAGAGGAGCTCATTTTGTAAGATTTCATACGTATTAAGAGAGTTGACTGATTTGTAGAGTTTGACTTTCTCTCTCATTGTTCTTAAAGTTCATATTGTGTTCTTACAAGATTTACATCAAGATGTGCCATTGTTATGAAGTAATTGAAGATTGATCAGTGATTTGGACTCCACAATTGGTATCAAAGCAGGATGCAAGAAATCAGAGTGGAAAAAATCAAATTCTTAAGGTTTTTGGTAAAAAAAAATTTGTTCTTCGTGTTCTTATTTTTTTTTTTTTTGATCCGGTTTTTTCATAAAATCTTGTGTTTTCGTGTTATAAATAGGATCAAAATGCTCGAAAATGATTTGTGAATCTTTGTTATTCACAAACTTTTGTGATTTGATCAATTTAAATCGGTCACAACTCAATAGCAGGCTTCAAAGGTTGAGCGAATTAAAGGAACACCGCACATCACTTGATCGGATTCAAGGTAAACCGCAGGAGCTTTCATCGGATTATTCACCATCGATTTCGTCTAAGGGTAAATCGCACATCAATCAAGCGGTATTCATCTAAACCGTGTGTCCCTTGAGCGGAGAAGAGGTAAACCGGAGAAGCCTTGACCAGTGTTCATCTAAACCGGTCACCTCTTGACCGGATTAGTGCTCTGATTCATTCAGCAGGTAAGTCTTCTTGATTGGTTTAAGTCTTAGATTTTTTTTCAATCAGAGCTGTCCGGATTTCTAATCCGCTCAATTCCACTTACCCAGATTCTTCATTGTTCGTTGTTTCTTGATTCAATTTGGTAATTTGTTCAATAATCTGTCAAGAATCGATTGAGATTGGTGAGATTTATTTGAGCATTTCTAATCGATTGAAAGTGCTGTCAGGTTTACATTCAATGTTGTGTTCGGTTTAAGCATCAATTGTAAATTCTCTCATTTCTCGCTTGAATCATTCAAGCTGTCAATGTTTGAAACAGCAATTACACAATGAACATATTGTTGTTTTTACTTTGAAGTTTTGAAACTGAGTTTGTTCAGTCATTTTAATCTGTTCATAACTTGTCTGAATTTTACAGACGTAGTTTGCACAGCAACAAGATCAAATAACAGGTTATGTTTTTGCATTCATTGTGTTGCTGTTTTGAGTTTAAAGTTTTGAATTTAGCACAGGTTGTTGAAGTTTGAAGTTTGTAGTTTGAAGTTTGAAGATCAAGACATAGGATGCTGCTATAGCACAGGTTGTTGAAGAGCAGTTCATGTCTCAGTTGACAGATTTAAAAACAGGTTTAAAAACAGATTGAGTGTTATTGTTTGCTATTTGGTGTAGCATCACTCATTGCTGTTTGATAGATTTTTTTTAAGGAGCAGCTACACAACTAAACTATCTTGTATTTTGATTTGGTTGTTTAATCTGTTTTGGGATTAAAACATAAGTGTGCAAGTTGTAGCAGTAAATTTGAAGCAACAGGTTTGCTGTTGTYTATTGTGTTTGGACAGCAGCAGGTCATTAGCATTTTGAAACATTGCRGGCTTCTAGATTCTGTCTTGCTTCATCTTGACAGCTTCTCTTAGATACAACTTTTGTAATCTTATAAACAGGTGATTTAGTACAGGTGACAGGTTGAGATAGCAGCAGGAAGTGTGCAGGCTTGTACTTTTGTGTTGTTACTACATTTGGTGTTGTTACTACATTTGCTTGCTGTCTGATCTTAGAACACAGATTTTGTTACTACATTTGGTGTTGATTACTACATTTGCTTGCTTTCTGTGTAGACTGAAACAGCAACAAGAACAACATCAACTGTTTGTGTTTGAAGAGAAGAAAACTATTCTATGTTTGGACTTGCTGTTTTGTTTGGACAACAAGTTTGACCTTCTTGCACTGTTACACAGTTACACAGATAGATTGATCTAAGGTTTACCTTCTTGTGTTGTGTGCAATTTATCAGTGTGTACAGTGTGCAAGTGACAAGTTCTTTGTTTCTAGTTTGGTCACAGCAGGGTCTTACACAGTTTTGGTTTCTGTATTTAATTTGAGTTTGTGATTTGAAGCAGAGTTTGTGATTTGAAGCAGAGTGTGATTTGAAGCAGAGTGCAAGTGTAACAAACAGCAAATTCAAAACAAGACAGCAGCAGTAACTTCAAAGCAAACAGCAACAGCAGCGTGCAGGTTCTTAGAGAGCAGATTTGGATTTGAAGCATACCAGAACAAGTCACCGTAGCCCAATTGAAGCAACTGATAAGAGAAGCATTCACGTGGATTTGTGGATAGACTTTCGAGGGCAGATAGATAATTTCTTTTTAAAGTGTAACATC